AATTTCCATCCACTACAAATTACCTCAAAGTAATCAGAAAAAATTGTTGCTACTGTCACACCCTTGGCGGGTGTTTTATTTATTAATAAATTGATTATTTTTCATTATTTAAGTACGTAATTGGCTGCAAACTTTGCGAAGGTACTGAAACCTACAATTAACAAATAATTAATGAACATTTTATAAACTTAGGTAGGTACTTATTTATTAAAATTTTGAAAATCGATCTATTGTTTTTTACATAGTTAAAAACTTTTCCTAACGTTTGCGGTTAATGAAAAAATCCTTGTACTTAATTTCTTGAAATATAGGTAAAACATAGTTTACTCTTTATTACTAATTGATGTAAATTTTATATACATATGTAAGTAGTCGTTCGTTATATTATTATTTAACAATTCATCGCAATTCCAGCAGATATTTAGTGCAGAAAATCTCTGTAATAGTCTCGTGATGGTACGAGCGACTTTTTAAAATTTAAGGCCACAGTCGCACGCCGTCACTTAAAAAAAGCTCAGTAGTTGCGTCGTGTTTGTTACGAGAGCAATTACGTGAAAATCCGTGGAAATTAACCCATCTAGCACAGACATTATTTTAAAAAAAATGTATTTGGTTTAATGAAATTTATTGGAAATTGTACACAAGTTTTCTAAGATGGAAAGTAGGCGTCAGGAAAATTTTTTAAACGTATGCAAATAATAAAACTATCAACAAATTAATTTTGTTATTTATAAACAATGAATGCCTGTTATGCCAATCAAAATTTTGTATGCTACTAATGAACTGATATTAATTTTTTAATGAAACTTTGTACCTGTATGCATATATTTAAATACGACGTCTGTTTGTTGTGTTCTGCTGCTAGCATAATAGATTCTATGATTTTTGGTAATCAATCAATAAGGTATGGAATGTATATAGAGATGTGCAAAATGGCTTTTTATAAGTACTTAAATACAAAATGCAAACACTTCTTTGGTTGTTATTTCAAATGTAAATTACAAAATAGGTTTCCCTTTTGTATTTTAAATGCTAAATGCAAAATACGTATTTTCAAAATACTTTTTTCAAATAAATACTTTTTGTAGTACCTATCTAATCTCTACATTTACTTAAGTATAAAACATTTTTCAAGAAAACATTTGTTCATTTCTCAAATATTGGAGTCTTTTTAGCCTAATAGGGGTGTTTGCACTGTAGTATCATCTGCGAAGATTAAGTACGATTCATGTTTTTCTGTTTGAAGTGATTGAGATATAGTTTTTCTATTGTTATATTGTAGTTTCTTCAGTTTAGCAACAAATAATTCTTCTATATGCTACTTTGTTTGCATTTATCACATGTTTTAATTGGAAAAAGACTCTGATGCCAAAATAATTTGTTTAGCGTGAAAGATCAAAGCCAAAATAGGGTTGAAAATAATTTTATTGATGTAAAATCAACTTCAATCATTTTATATCAAAATATTTACAACCCCATTTTGTTTCTGATCTTTTACACACTGTAATAAGAGAAAGAAATGGAATCCATAGTTTCTTTAGATTTGGGTTCAGCTAATAAGTGAAGTTTATCGAATCAGTTTTTATTAGTTTTTTTTATTTTGAATTTAACATGAATTAGTACTGGAGGTAAGTTTTTCCATGAATTTTTTTTGTAGTTAACAGGATTGTAACTACTTTATTGCTATTGTGCTTTACCGTGTTTGTAAATATATCTAATATATATAGCTTTCACCGTTTTAAATTATTCTCCGAATTGATAATCTACTACAAAATAATTAATTAATATAACGGAGAAATACGCGAAAACGAAATGATGTGAAAGTAGAAACGAAGGTGGATTTATTTTTTGGGCAGAATTTTAATTAAAAAGCTTTTTTTTGTAATTTATTGTTATTTTTTTTCGTTTCTCATATAAAACTTGGATTTAATTTTCTAGTACATTATTCCTTCTTGAATTTATGATTTTGACTCGTTAATTTTCCACAGGAAAAAATGGATTTTATCTGATTGAACCTTAGTCAATTGTTTCGCCTAGCTTTAATTTCTTTTCAGTTTAGTTAACGAATGATTTTTGATATTTAATTTACTTTTAATGAGTTCCATTATAAAAAAATCATTGTAATCGTCTCACAGAAATCATGTACATTTAATGGTTTATCCTCTTTTTACCATTTATATTTTAGATACTTTGATTTTGTTGTTTTGCTTTAACGTAATCATTTTGTGTTAGTATTTTTTTTTCAATTAATTGAAGTTAACAAAGTTTATTTGTTTAATATCTTATATTTCTAATTTTAAATTGAAA